TTTTTTTTTTTTTTTTTTGAGACCAGTAGCTTTAATTTAATTTAACTTTTTATTGTGAATTGGGTTAATTACAGAGCAAAGGAATTTTCCATTCAACAATTCACACACATTTTATTCCATGTTTTTTATTGTAATGCTAACTTATCCTGCTTCTCTCCTGTGTTTCTTGTTTCCATTCCTCCTCCTTTCCTAACCCTTCTGAACTTTGTCCTTGGAATAATGCTACTCTTTTATCTCAAATGATTGTTTATTCTAAGGAGTGCTTGTTGTTGCTGTTGTTAAGTGTCATCGAGTGGGTTCTGACTCGTATGGACCCTGTATAGGGTTTCCAAAGAGTGGCTGGTTAGCTTGAACCACCAATCTTACAGTTCAAACCAACTTTCCAATCCAGCACATTAATTCTCAGTGCTATACACCAGGGTTAGTGCTTACCTCCCAAATATTGTTCCCCTTATAGACCTGTCTATTGCTTGTTTAAAAATTGTAAGTTCATTTCCAGAACTGAAGAGTGACTAAGGACTGTAGTCTCAGAGGTTCCACCTGTCTCTTTCTGACCAGTAAACCTGTTCTTTTTTACGATTATGAGTTTTTTCCATATTTTTCTCCCACTCTGTGTGATCCCTTTCAGAGCAGTTGGTAATGGCATAAATTTGGTTTTTGGCTTATAGGGTAGCTCAAAGTAGAAATCAGTAAGTATAGAGTGGAGGTAATAGTAATGATACCATTTATTCATTATTTACCTTCGTTTTGTAGACAATATCTAATTTAATCCTTTACCACAATCTAGTGAGATTGCCTCATTTTACAGAGGAGCTTGCCAAAATTATGTAGCTAATCAGTGACAGACCCGGGATTGGAATGGACACCAAATCCATATGCACATAACCCCTGTACTATACTGCTTTTCCACCGTAAACATAATAATATGAAGACAGGTGCTTTACAGGGAAGGACCTTAGTTTATTAGTGTTTAAAAAGCAAGCTTCAAAAGTAAGTGAAGTTCATAAGAATTTTTATATCTAAAGCAACCAGAAGGAAGCTATTCAGTGTGGCATAATAGAAAGAGGATATGGCTCAATGACTGGAATTCTGAGATAGCATCTCATTTCCCCCATTTACTAGTTATTTGACATTGTTGTTGGGTTTCATTGAGTCAGCTCTGATTCCTACCACAGCAGAACAAAACACTGCTTGGTCCTATGCCATCATCACAATAGTTGTTTCACTTGAGCCCATTGTTGCTACCACTGTGCCAGTCCATCTCCTTGGGGGTCTTCCTCTTATTCTCTGACCGCCCTCTTTACCAAGGTTGATGTCCTTTTCCGGGGACTGGTCCCTCCTAACAACACATCAAGTGTATGACAGACGTAGTCTCGCTATCCTCACTTCTAAGAGCATTTTGGCTGTACGTCTTCCAACACAGATTTGTTCTTTTTACTGGCAGTCCATGGTACATTCAAAATTCTTCTCCAACACCTTAAGTCAAATACATCAATTCTTCTGTGATCTTCCTTATTATAAACGTCCAACTTTAATATGCATATGAGGCAATCGAAAATACCCTGGCTTGAGTCAGGCCTGCCTTAATCTTTGCTCTTGAACACTTTAAAGAAATCTTTTGCAACAGATTTGCCTAATGCAATAAGTCATTTGATTTCTTGACTGCTGGTTCCATTGGGATTGATTGTAGATCCAAGCAAAATGGTCTTTGACAACTTCAATCTTCTCTCCATTTATCATGATGTTATTTATTGTTCCAGTTGTAAAGAATTTTGCTTGCTTTACATTGAGGTGCAATCATACTGAAGGCTGTGGGTTTTTTTTATCTTCATCAGTCATCTTTGATCTTCATTTGACCTTAGACAGGTCATTTAACCTTTGAGCTAGTAAAAATAGCTGTTTATCCAATTTTACAGGCATTGATTTAGTGATATAATGTGATAGTACGTATAGAAAATAAAGAACTATATATAAGGTTGTTATGATGATAGCTATATGTCTGTATGCTTTGTTTCCGTGCAAAAGGACAAAAAGTGCCAATAGACTCAATTGTGCATTTGTATCTTTGTCCTTTGACCTTTAGTTTAAAAGGCATTAACAGGATTAAGAAGTTTCTTGAAGATTGATGACTTAAAATTTTCACAGAGTTTTTAATTTCTTTTCTCTTTCTCAGTAAAAATGTTGATACATTGTAGATGCTTTTCCAAGCAATTTAAATTTTTTGTTTCCTAATGTTAGGTATTAATATTAACCGAGGTCTCCTGTGCTTGGGAAATGTAATCAGCGCTCTTGGAGATGATAAAAAAGGCGGTTTTGTGCCCTACAGAGATTCCAAGTTAACTCGACTGCTTCAGGGTAAGTCCAAAGTGCCTCTAAAACTAAGAGACTGATAGCACTGAAAAATCAAAGATCAAACAGGTAAAAAGCCAGATATTTGGACTATCACACACACAACAGTCTAACTGATAAATAGGAAAGAGCTGTTGGCAAGGAGCCTTCTAAGATAATGGAAAGATTATCTTGAGTGTCAAGACATTTGTAGAATGCCACCTGTACATACTTAGTACTTTGCACTTTGTTACTGTTTCTTTAATTATCAGTGATCCTAAGTAGAATTCACTGGAAGTTGAAATTCACCAAGATGGGGCATCATACAGGATTCCTGGTGTGGCACGTGGGTTAATGCACTAGACTGCAAAGTCTGTTTGAACCGCAAGGTCAGATTTGTTCTGAATAAATTTGGAAATAAATTAGGAAAAAGAAACTTTTTCTCAGTATCTCCTCTAGCTCACCAGCTGCTCCTTGGAAACCCTATACAGGGTTGCTATAAGTCAAACCGACTCGACACTTAACAACAGCAAGCAGAATTCACTGGAGAATTGAAATTCACCCAGAGGGGCCATCATAAGGGTATTTAATCCCGATTGTTGTTGTTACAAGTATCATTGAGTTGTATAGGCTTTCCGAGGGACAGCTGATGGTTTGAACCACTGACCCTGCAGTCAGCATTCTAGTGCTATCATATAGCACCACAGCAGGACTCCTTAATCCAGTGGTGGCTCCAAATTTATTTGGGTCAAGCCCTAGTTGTTTTAACTGGTTAACTGACAAAATCACACTGTCTTTCCACACAATGGGGGTAAGCGCAATAAGATTTCTAAACTATGTCACATTACATGTTGTACTTCTTAGTGTTTTTATACTGATGCAAATAAAAAATTTTTAGATACATAAGATTTTTTCTTAAAGCTCTGTATTTGAAGTAGCCAATCCAAATAGCTTTGCTTGCATCCTAATTGTTGTTTTCAGCTTCTTCCACTGTTATTTTTCAGATTCTCTAGGAGGTAATAGCCATACGCTTATGATAGCCTGTGTGAGTCCTGCTGACTCCAATCTAGAGGAAACATTAAATACCCTTCGCTATGCTGCCAGAGCAAGAAAAATCAAGAACAAACCTGTTGTTAATATTGATCCTCAGACAGCTGAACTTAATCATCTGAAGCAACAGGTATAAGAGATGTAAAATTTAATGAAAAAAATATTGTAAGAATGTGAGTGAAATGATGGAACTTTTTCTCAATATCTCTTCTATCAGAAGTTTGGACATGTTGAACATTATCTTAGTTTGGGAACATCTTAAAGTGACTCCCATTAATATTTGTTTTCCATTTAAAATTGGGGGTTGTATTGAATTTTACCTGTTAAATGAGTGATGAGAGATGAGGCAATAGAGGTAGACAGCAGCCAGATCCTGAAGACCCTTATATACTTTGATATAGAACTTAGAACCTGAAAGTTATGAGGAACTATTGAAAAGTTTTTTAAATTGACATTTTGAAATGTGTGTTTTAGGGAGATCTTTGTAGCAAGTGTCAAATTTGGCTAGAGGTCGGATGTCTAGAAGTAGGATAATAAATTGTATTTATAAATTAGGGTTTTAACTGAAGTAAAAACAGTAAGTAATAGAGATGGAGAGAAGGGAATAAATTAGGAAAAAGAAAATCACAGTGAACTAGAATGTATAGGACTTTAAACCAGCCAAACCCATTCCACTTTTGTCAAGCTGATTCCAACTCTAGCGACACAATTGGGCATAACAGAATTGCCCCACAGGGTTTCCAAGGCTATAAATCTTTATGGAAGCACACTGCCACATCTCTCTTCCTCAAAGTGGCTGGTAGGTTCAAACACTGAACCCACTAGCAGAGTACTTTAACCACCACCAGGGATCCTTGTATATAGGACTGATTTGCTAACAAATTTGATGTGGAAAAAGTAGGGTAGGGAGAGAGATGAAACTTGAATCACAGGTTTCTTGTTTGGACAGCTAAGTAAATTTTAGTGCCAATCGTTAAGTCAGGGAATATAGGGAAGAAAAATAACAGAATCAGGTAGGGGAATGCAAATGATGAATTCAATTTGGGACATTTTGAATGACTTTTGAAGGGACATCTAAGTAGCAATGTTCAAAATGTAGCTTGCTATATGGGTCTAATGTAGAGAGATCTGAACTGAAGATAAAGATTTGGGAGTCATAAACATTTAGATGAAGTCAGTTTGGCTGGCAATCCAAGTAGCTCAGTAGCCGTGGTAGAGGGGCTGGAAGTCAGACAGTTGTATTGGTTCAGGTTTGGACAGTACTCTTTCCACCGGAAATTTACTGTTTCCCAACTGTTCAGTTCTCAGCCCTTTCCTGATCTTTCTTCCTCAGTGATAGCAATTACTATTCAGGTAATCACTTTTTTTCCTTCCCCTTCTCCTTCTTTTCTTCCTTCCCCTTCTCCTTCACTCCTAGGGTTTATTGTAGAGACTGTCCACAGCATCATTTGAGATATAAAGCACTACTTAGTTCTGTCCTTTTTCTTTCATGTTTATTCCTTTTGCCAAAAAAGCTCTTTCTCCTATTTATTTATTCATTCCTTCCACCAAATATTTACTGAGCACTGTTGTGTGGCATGTATTGTTCTACAGATACATTGTTGAGCAAAATAGACATAATTTCTGCCTTCATAAAGTGTATTGCCTAATAGGAGAGACCATTGCTAAACACACAATTCCACCAACTTTTAAACTGGGATAATAATGTAAAGAAAAATAACAAAGTGCTATGAAGGTATGGAAAAAGATTTCTATTATGATGAACATAGGAAAATGTGCACATGAAAAAAGCCCACACAGAATAATTATATATATATACATACACACACACACACACACACACACACACACACACACTAGTTAGGGTGTGGTGCTGTGGGTTAATGCGCCAGACTATAAAGCCATTTGAACTGCAAGGCCGGCAGTTCAAGCTTACGAGCTGCTCCTCTGAAACCCTATACAGGGTTGCTATGGGTTAGAAATGATTCGACAGCACTTAACAACAATTAGGGTTAGGGTTGGTAATTGTAAGTAGCTACTATAAAGTATCAAATTAGTAGGCATTATTTGCTTTCCCAATATGGTGGTTATGTGCCGTGGAGTTGGTTCCGACTCATAGCGACACTGTACAGGGTTTCCGAGGCTGTAAATCTTTATGGGAGCAGAAAGCCTCATCTTTCTCCCACAGAACAGCTGATAGTTTCGAACGGCTGACCTTAAGGTTCGTAGCCCGATTTGTAGCCGCTACGCTACCAGCTTTCCCAATGTAACATATAAATAAGTATTTCCATCTTAAACAGCAAGATCAGTATTTGCTTACAAAAAATTTGTTTCCATATAGTCATAGAAAAGTAGACACTGTCTTGTATTCAAGTTTTGAAGTTAGATTTTCATTATTTTCCCCCTACAATTTGTAATAATTACACATACAAAAGTAAACAGATGAAGTATACATCTTACACTTTTAAAGAAGTACTTGAAAAAAGATATTTCCAATGCTTCTGTTCTAGAACCATAAATGATAATAATTATGACATGTATCTGAGCTACATAATAAACAGCAGGTTTATTAGTCCTCTAAGAAGATCATAATGATCTTATTACATAACAATTATGACTAAGTTTTTCCAACAATATTGCTCCAGTGTGGGTTTACATGAGACACCATGCTACAGTAAGTACTGCTACAATGCCATTCAGAATTACCATGCTGTAGCCCATGTAGAAAGAATGTCCAGTCAGTCTCTTGAACCTGGTAGGTGAAAGAAGAGTAGGAGGAAATATCCCTGGTTTGAAAGAATCAAAATAAGCCACTGTTCAAGAAAAGCTGCAACAGGAAAATCCAGCATTCAGGGATATGATAATCAGGGTCCAGAATCCAAATAGCCCAATGTTTACACCATATTCATGCTTCAGATTCTCAGCATGCAACGAGGCGGGCTCTCCTGTCTTGCCTTAACTGTCAACTCCTAGCTCCCTTTCACATCTTTTTCTCCAAGGTCCTATCAATTCCCTCCACACTGCTCTGTGTTCCTCCGACCCTGCTCCACCCCAGCATGTGTTCTCCACCTCATGTTTAAGGACCTTGAACCCCAGGACAGTGTCTTTTTTTTTTTCTTAAATGTTTTATTGTGAATTATGTGATAGTTTACATGGGAGAACATTAGTTTTACATTCATTCTATCGTATATCATCTCATTGCCAGGGTTACAATCCCCTCCATGCAATCCTTCCCCTGTACCCCCCAGGTCTTCAGCACACAGTAGGTCTCCCTCTTTGTATCTAAAGTCTCCAGCTGCTCCATCGCTCCACGTCATCATCTCTGGCTCCATTTCAGGCATCACTGCTTCTCTGGGCAGGGTCCTGCTCTCTGCTCTTCTCCCTTGATAGTCCTAGGGACCTCCACTCCTAGACTGAAAAGTTAATCACTCCCCTCCTTGCTACAAAACGTCTACCTTTACATTTCCAACCCTCACAGTCAGTCCTGATAACAATTATTCACTATTGTATCACAAGAGACCCGTCTACATTTCATTGCATCAGCCCTGCCTAGTCAGATTGAATACTACTCACTGGAGTTTCTACCTTTCTCCAGGCCCTCTGGATCGAGGTTCCCTCTTGAAAGCTTGTAAGCCAGTCACTTCTTGCCTTTGTAGCCCCGCGCCCCCCATTTTGGGTAGCCAATGTCCAAGTTGCCCATCCCTTTAGTATGGGTTCTTTCCCTTAGTCTTTTACAGTAGTGGTCCTGTGCAGTATTTCTCTTTTTGTGCCTGACTAATTTCATTCAACATAATGCCCTCAAGGTTCATCCATGTTATGCGGTGGCTTGCAGCTTGTTGTTCTTCAAGGTAGCATAGTATTCTATTGTGTGTATGTACCACAGTTTGTTTATCCGTTCTTCAGTTGATGGGCACTTTGGTTGGCTCCATCTTTTTGCTATTGTAAATAGTGCTTCTATGAACATTAGTGTGCATATATCTTCTTATGTTGTGGCTCTTTTTTCTTGTGGGTAAATACCAAGTAGAGGAATTGCTGGATCATAAGGTATTTCTATTTTCAACCTTCTGAGGAAACACAATATTGCTTTCCAGAGAGGTTGGACCATTTTGCAGTCCCACCAGCAATGCAGGAGTGTCCCAGTCTCTCCACA